GCCAGTGCCGCCACCCGGCGCCCTCCAGTCTCGGTGACTTTTTGAACCCGACAGGTACATACACAACCTGCAAGGCCTTCGAAACCACCTGTGGTATACAGGGCGTATGCGCACAACGTGCACTCTGATGGACAGTGCCGCCACCCAACCCGACAGGTACAAACACAACTTTCCAAGGCCTTCGACATCACCCGTGGGATCTAGGCCATTTGGGCACGACGTGCACTCTGACGGATGCTCTGATTGACAGCTCACTGGATGAAGCCAGCCAGTGCCGCCACCCGGCGCCCTGCAGTCTCGGTGAGTTCTTGAACTTGACAGGTGCAAACACGACCTGCAAGGCCTTCGACACCACCTGTGACATCCATGTGCCTGAACCCCTTGAACTCGTAAGGTGCAAAGGAAGTCAGCGAGGCCGATATCCGACATTGCATCTGCCGTGCATCTTCAAACACGATGGCTCACTTGCACCATCACCAAGGCCTTTCGACACCAGCTTTATCCTATTCTGTCGATGCCTTGCGCCTGCTTTTTGGAACAGCCGAGGTCAGCGCTTGAGCTCAGACCCAAGTTCGTCCCATTAGAAACAGGTCGGCCAGGACTGTGACACGCTATGGCTAGAATGCTTTGGAGGAGGCATGGCTTACCTCTCAGCTGAGGGATCTGCAGAGTCCCAAGCCCGATTTGCTGTTCTGCAGATGATGATATATCACTGATCGCGGCTGCCTACCTCTGCAGTTGAGATAGGGAGACCACGTTAACGCTGCCTTCATACGGCTCAGGATTCGCCCCCTGCGCTGCCTGTTGAAGCATGCTACATCCAAACAACCTTCAACCACCACATTGAGCCAAAAGGCAAGCTGCAGCGCTGCAAAAACATCTCTGCCGTAAACCGTAAAAGAACCTCATATGGGCAGTTTTTGAAATCAGGGTCCCTTTTGGGGTCCTGTTTATAAGGGTGCCGTACTATATTGGGGACCTAAAAAGGGACCCTGATTTAGAGAACTACCCATATACGTTGAGTGCGGTTTCCAGCAGGGTCCACCTTGCGCCTGCTCCGTGGTTGTGCAGGGTAGTACACCTGAGAAGTATCCTGGTGAAGCCATAGCCGGCGACATTTCAAGAGTTCAACTCAAGAGTGTTAACTTCCTAGTCATGACACAAATGACATGACGAGTCTTCTTCTCCTCGTCGCCAAGGACGTGGAAGTACTCTACTCCGGACTCACCGACCGTGATCTCCGCCGCAAACCTGGGCTTAGGTCCTTTACGGAAGGTTTCGGAACACATTTTTGGATCTAAGGATCCAGGCAGTCCGGGTAGGCCCGGGAGTTCTGCCATCTGAGTGCAGCTCCAGCCTCGGCCCAGGCAGACTGAGCGATTCGGATCTCCCCTTTCTCTGCTCCGTGCCGCGCGCCGTTGAAGCTGCCGGCCAGGCCAAACCTCAGCCAGGGCCCGGCGGCCAGGGCCAGGGTTCCAAAGCACAGCAAAGGCAGCAGCTCCCCCCCGCCCGGCCCCGCCCGGCGCCTCTTGTGTGCCTTCGGATCTGGCGGAGTGTCGACCACTTCACGCCAAACCTCCAGAATCCCCAGTTCGGAAAGGATTGCAAGACATGGAGGTGTGCGGTGCTCCTGTTTGGTAGAGACCAGTTGTTGCTGTTTGCACAAGATAAAACACCAGATCTCGCCTTTGATCTTCAAATCGTAGCACAGCCTGAGGTTGCGGCTGCCGCACCGCTGGCATCGACTTCTACCTCGTAGACTTTGCCAATCTTGTCCTGCGATGCCAGAGCTGGGCTCATGAAGGGCTCAGACTTCCGTTCCCTAACTTCCACCTTTCAGCGTCTTCGCGCAGATTCTACAGACGGAGCCCGCCTCGCTCAAGGGTGCTCCGTTGGTCTCCCACTCCTGGATGCAGTGTCGTCAGAAACTGTCTAGCGCCTTTTGGTTTGAGCACGGTCACATGAGTCCTCAGGGTCGAGGCTGTGCTTGAAGACGTCGGGCGGCAGCGCCTGGCAACAAGAACCACGAGCAGGATCGTCATGCTGCCAACCGCGCAGAGCAAAGGCATCACAGAGACCCTCGCGAAGTGTGGGCGGGGAGACGGCAGTTTGTTGCTAGAGGTTCGCTTCACCGAGATCACTCAGATCCGACTGCAAGGGGAGCTCGACGGCGGGGCCCACTTCGCTGGAGACCTGGCCCTTCTTGCCCGTCCCTGCAGATTTGCGGCCCAGTGACCACAAATAGACCATCTTGTCTTCCTCTGTCTTCAGATCGGCCCACTCGAAATACGGCACAGTCATGCACACGTGGCCCTCCATTTCCAAGGTTCGCTGGTGCAGCTTGCTGTAGGCGGTCCTCTCGGTTGTGCCGGCATAGTAGCCATACGGACCCACGGCACAAACCACGGCTTTGCTGACCGGAAGCCAGATGTCCAGCACCTGGTCGTCGATGAGGGGCTTCAGTTCGACGCTGACGTCCATCTTGCGCAGCGTGCTTCGCACCTCCCTCATCCAGCGGGACTCGAAAGTGGAGATCTTAACTTGTGTGGTTTCGAAGGTGTGCAATGCATCCCGGCACTCCATGCTCAGGCTCTTGAACAAGACTGGATGGAGACGCCGGAAGGCTATACTGGTCGGCTTCAACACCCGACGCTGATAATCTCCCAGCTCCTCCTTCGACCATGCTAAGAGTGTCAGGAGCTTTTCCGCCACATCGTCAGAGGTTCCCACCAAAGCCACAAGTGTGCGGAAGAGAAGGACCAAGGCCTGTAGATCAAAGACATCCTGGTCACGGAGGCTACCGGATCGCCGATACTGCGGGCCAAGCTCCAGTGCACGATCCAGCTTCTTCACTGCGGCGTCCTCGAAGGCTTTTGCAAGCTTGACATTGTTGAAATCCAGCTTGGCAAAGGCATTCATTGCTGTCGCAAGCGTCTCCTGGCTGAAGAGGTGCCGCTGGGCACAGCGGCGGCACATCTTTGCGATCACAATGAGTGCTTGCTCGTCTCGCCGGTCCACTCGCGCCATGGCACTGACGAGGATCGTCAACTCCAGTGGGTTCATCGTCCAGACGAGTCGATTTAAAGACATGGCCGCGAGCCGCCAGAAGCGGGGGCGATAGATGTAGAAGTGTGCAACGGCATTGCTAATGAGTGCAACATCCTTGCCAGTCCATTCCTCTTTCCTCTGACAGAGCACGTTCAGCAAGAGGTGGAGGTTGTCAGTTCTCTCATACTCCAACTTCTTGTGCGCAAGAAGGAGGAGGACAAGCTCTTCCGTGTTGAAAGAGTCGATGTGTCGAAGAATAAATGGGGAGAGAGTGTCCAGAGCCCGTGCATCCCGATATTTTATCCTGGCAAAGGCACGAAACATTAGAGAAATGTCTGTGGCACCGATCAGTGTGCCTGTCATTAGCACTCTCTGCGCGAAGCGCGCCCAGACCTCCTCACTGCGAACACCTCGTCTTGCGCAGCTCCACATCTTCTTGGCAAGTGGCCCGGCCTTTAGACCAGAGCCCTCGTCAGAAGGCGACGAAGTCTCGAGGAGATCTTCGGGTCTTGCCTGATCCAGGATGTCCTGCTCCTCCAGCTCGCCATCTACTTCAGCCAAGATTGGCGTTAGCTCAGAGGCTCCCTTCTTCTTTCCAGGGGCGCCGACAGTGGATGCTGCCCTGAAGACCAGATCTTTCTCCTTGCGCCAGCCGTGGAGGCCCAGGGCCAGGACTCTCTGCCCGAGCCGCGCCCAAATCCGCGGCTGCATGTGGCCCTGCTCAGCATGGAGGCATGCCAGCTCGTCAAGAGCATCTTAATTTGTTGTTTTTCTCAGTGCTTTGCTAGCATCATTGCTGTCATGAGTCATGATCACCCTAATAAGCAAGGTACGCCGCAGATTGAACAGTTCTGCGTGGTCTTAGGGTGGCTCAATCAGTTTTCGGAGTCCAGAAGCATGTACTCAGGCTTGTCCAAAGCTCGATTCGATCCGAAGCTGCTGCAAGCCACGGCTACGTGGCAAGATCGATCTCACAGTTTACTGATTGTAACGAATTACACTTCAGGTGTCCATCATATCTCCGGAAATAGCAAACAAACAGCTGGCCTGCATAATCTTCTGCAGCATGAGGCCCCTGTGGTGCGGAAGGCTAGCAGTCGGTACTCACAAAGAAGCACATGTGGGCTGGTCGGAGCGATTGGAGATTTCCGGTATGACGTGCTGCGGTTCGCTTCTGCCTGAAGTCCTTCTTCGTGACATCCCGGGCAGTGACACAATTTTTCCCGAATGCCCTCAGATGCCGTGGTGACTGCACGAGGCATCAGCTGACGTGCTGAGGGCCCAGCATTGCATGGGCATTCGTGCCTCGAAACATTGGAAAAACAAGTAATCTGAAGGAGAGGCTCTGAGCCGCTCGGTTCAAGGAAAAGCTTATCCCGCCATCTACTCTTTCGTAAAGATCCAGATTTGTGCCTCCGAAGCCAAAGGAACTGACCTGAGAAACGACCAATTTCTCAATCTGGGTGCGAGCCGCAACATAACCAGCTCTTACCACACGCATCGAGGTTCTAGCACCGGTGACCGCAGTGTTGTAGTGCGTCACCAAGCCCTCTGACAAGAACTGGGTCGGGAATCCTGACAGCAACTGTGCCAAGCAGGACTTTTATTACTTGCATCTCCAAAAGGATGTCCCAATCACACACAATCACCAATGTTCCTGAGGAGCCCTACATAATTACACTCACCCGGACGAATACCCGAATTTAAACACTACTTCTTGCCACACGCCCAAGGTGGCTGCCACTTGTCCAGGTCCGACACACCCTTTTGGCTACTCGGCCAGCTGAAGAAAGCTTGGCTCCAGCTTTCGTGATACTCGTGCGGCCACGCGAGCCCCCACGACCGAGGCAGAAGCCCTCGGCCCTGGACAAGCATGCCCTAAGCCCAATGTTGCTCTCTCGCAAGGTACTTCACAAAGCTCCAAAGAATACATAAAGCAAAAGAGTCTGCAGAAGTTATGGCAAGACGAGTGCCACAGTATGTCAGTCCTTCCACATCCAGATGCGGATTTCTCTCACGCAAATGGATGTTTGGACTCGCCTCACAACGCATGACCTGCGAGCTTCAAGCCAGAGAACGTCCTCAAGGCTGGTTTCGTTATATAGGGAGTCTGCCTGCAGGATGCACTTGATGAACCCAGCCATGCCTGCGAAGACTGAAGGGAAAGAAGGCCAGGAGACGGATGCAAAGGGAGGCCGCGATGCCCAGCCTGCACCACCTTCCAGGTGGCCTAGGTTGGTCTTGGAGCTCGTCACCTGAGTCGCTGCCATTGAAACAAGAAACTCCACTGCCCAGTTTCTCCGAGTTCGGCACCATGAGTGGATGGGCTCGCTGAGACTGGGCGTAAATGCGCTTGAAAGCGCCCACCTGCGGCAGCAGAAGGCTTGAGCTTCTTGAAGTCGCTTCACCTGGACACGGCCTCAATGGGATCACCGAGAGCGGTTCCTGTTCCATGCGTCTCGAAGCCTTGCGCCGCCAGTTTCACTTTGAGTTTCGGTTCTGCCGGGAGATTGAGCAGGAGCTGTCTTGGGACAAGGCAATCCACCTCTGCCGGCTGATACTTCGCCTCACGACTTCGCTAAGAGAAAAAGCAGGCTGTGACACCGAACCACACGGGCCTCGCGGAAGCATGCTCGGATACACCTCTCTTGGGATGGGCCGTTGGGTGCCGTGATGCTGGCGCTGCGTCCATCCTGGTTAGCCTGTCAGAAGCTCGGCTGCCACGACGGCTGGGAGATCGGCTTTGACAAGTGGACATGTCTGCGCAATATCCGTGCATATTTATGAGTTCGCACAGCACGCCTGACTCGCAGGCATCAGGGTGAACACCTGCGCTGCCAGAATCACATGCGCTTTCCGGCACGCATTATTGCCTCTTCCCTCTCCCCTCTCCCCTCCCCCCGCTCTCTCTTTCTCTCTCTCTCTCTCTCTCCTGGGCTTGGGGGACGGTCAAATCCCCCGGGCATCATGCCCACCCAACATTATTAGTTGGGCGCAAGGGAGTGAAGTACGAACATAAATCACCTGGGAGGCTAAGGCCATCAAGTGTACGATAAGGTTACAAGGTGATTGTATGCTCTTTCTCTCTCTCTCTCTCTTTCTTTTTGTCTGTCGCCGACAAGAGGGTTGCCCCCCTTGCCCGCCTCTTTCTTTCGTCAGGGTTAGGGACAAGGGGAAGCTCCCCTTGCCTGCGCGCCCGCCTCTCTCTCTCTCTCTGTCTCTCTCTCTCGCTACCAGGGGGGAGGATGCGACCTTCCCTCGTGCCTCTCTCTGTCGTTCTCTCTTGTATTCCTATCCTTTTGAAGCCAGGGTGGCGGGAGGACTTCCCCACAACTCCGTAGCCTGCGCCCTTATACATCTTGAGAAAGACCGGGCCATGCAACCCGAGTCCATGCCGAATGAGGGGCACAGAAGCCAACCCCGCGCCCTGTGCTGGCAGGCCTCCCGACCAAACTCCTTGAGCTCCAAGAAAATGCTGGACACGCCCTAGGCACGTGGAGACAGCGGGCACACTGACAAGAAGCGGCGCAAAAGCGGCGCAAAAGCTCCCAGCCTCGCCCCGCAAGTACCCATCTGCTGAAACATCGTATGTGAAGCATCGGCCCTTGAAGGAGAGCATGCCACCTGTTGCGCGCTGCTCAAGCTCTGGGCGACATCTCCACCAATACAGTCGCTGCAATGCTGTCTGCGGTGGTCTTGAGTGAGGCACCGCTGCAGCAGCCCACGAAGCCGAATGGACCATAAGCCTCAGAAGCCGACCGGACTTCTCGCAAGAATTCTACGGTCGGGTGCTTAGGGCAGTGCTAGCTGCGTTCCACAACAGATCGTGCCGTCCAGGGGATCGAAGTCCTCTTCAGATGTATCTCACAAGTGTTTATCTCTCGTACTGTTCTGTCGACCCTTGGCACTCTTGTCATTTGTCGCGTCTCCAAACTACAGCTTTGCAGGAAGGCGACGTCCGCTCCGGATTATCTGCGATGGTGTATATCTACATGTTGCAGGCCGTCCTTGTACTTCAGGTGCACCTTTCCAGTGTGCGTTGCCTTGGTGAAATCAGCTCTCCGTGCTTGGCAGAGAGCTTTGCTGTAATGCGCAAGACGTCAAGGGCACTGTCTTCGATCTGAGACACCGGGTGACGAAAGTCATTTCGCGAGGTCTCTTTCAGGGCTGGGGTGCCCTGACACATAGAACAACATGCACAGCTGGATCAAGCCAGGTCAGGACACTGTACAAAAAGCGATATCAACCGTCGAGTCAGAGAGCAAGCTGACGGTTTCATCTGCTCGCTCTCAGGTTTCCAGCCCCTTTGACGGAGCCTTGTGATGCTGCCGACCATAGCCCGAATTAGGCCAGGACTAGCAGCCTTCTAAGGATTCCAAGCAATCTCAACCACGCCCTTCTGCTTTTGTGGCGGCTGGGCCTTTAGCATGACTGCATCCCCCCTGGCCCAGGCCGGATGTCCAGGTACTCCTGGACCTTCGGATCGTTCAGATCCCATTTAGCCGGAGCAGCTGGTCGTGGAGGCTCCGACTTGTAATCGTTCTTGACCTGAAACGGAAAGGGCTTGGCGTCGGTGTTAAGTACCAGAGCCTGAGCTCCGCACCACCTCCCCTCGCTGGAAGAGGCCTCCAAACGTGCTCTTGTCTTCCATTTCCTGCAGCTCCATGTCGCTCAGTCCGCAATGAAAACCTTTGTGCGCACTTGCACACTTGCTACACAGCGGATCTCTCCTGCTTTTTTTTCTCTTTCCGGAGCTTGGTCAGCATATTCCGCACCTGATGCATGTTTCTAGCAAGAAAGCAATTGGCAGAGGCGCGGAGTTCTGCAATGCTGGCCTCCTTGTCATTGGGGGCCAGCCGCGCAGCCGCCATCAAATCCTGCACGGCTGCTGGTGCATCTAGTATACCCAGGTTTCGGCCAGCATCGGCACAGCTTCCTGGATGGCAGCCTCACGATCTGCATCCTTGGCCGAGATTGGTGCCAGGCGGGCCTGCGCACGCCGGTACAAGGCCTTGACCTCAGTAAGCATTGGTCAGTAGAAGGAGCTGGTGCAGCAGAGAACTGCCGATCAGCCGCATCCCGATCTCAACCCAGGCGCGCTGTCCGGGTTCACCTTCTCCAAGACTTCGTCGCACGCCCGCTTCATGTCGTCGAACTTTCGAAGCTTTTGACAGGCCAGTGCGATGTTCCTTCAAACTGCCAAGGAACACGACTGCATTTTCACGGTGTCTCAGCAGATTTGATCGTAAGGCTTGTAAGGTCTGCACTCGCTGCAAACCGAGAGGCAAGTAGCAGGACTGCACCAGCTCGGAGGCCTCTGCCGAGTCCAAGGCCGTCTCCTCCACGCGGAGGAAGTCGTCCTCGATGCCCTGCGATAAGAGCTGAGACCAGAGAGAGAAGAGGGGGAGGGAGAGGGACGGGAGGAGCAAAGAACATGCATAAGCCCAGAAGTGTCCGAGTGAAGCTTCCAGCATGATTCTCTAGTTAAAACGTGTTGCATGTCGGGCCAGAGGTGTCACTCCTGCTTGTGTGCGAGTACACCTGCAATATCCTTCAATCCCAAATTGCGGCATGATGCTTGCAGGGGGCACCTTGTAAGAGCCGTCATCGTTCTTCCAGTCTTGCCGAAGGCACTCGACATATCCTGGGATTCTTCACTAGCCGTGAGGCATGGCGTCACGCAAGACAGCAGTTCGTCCATCTCTTACAGCAAGTGGCTGAGTAATCCGGCTGCTTTCTCATACGAGCGCACAGCAGCATCCAAGCTTTGCTGCTCTTGCTCATCATCTTCTTCGACTTCCTGCAAGGCAAGCAGTGTATGATCACCGCGCGGCTTACGAAATTTGTCCTGCCTCAGCCTCCTTGGGCGCACTGCGCTCAGCTGTTGCCCTCAGTGCTGCAAGTTGCTGCCGCAAATCCTGTCATTTTAGCAGAGATCTTGAGAAGCAGCCAGCACAGACCGCCAATCGCATCGCGAGGAGACCTGACATGGCCGGTGTCCTTGAGCTCCTTTTCTTTCTCCCAGATTTGTGCTTCCAGTTGCTCCTCCTAGCAGGTGCATCCCTACAGGCCTTTCGGGTTTAAGCGGTGCAGGGTGCAGTTTAGGGTTCGGTTGCGCGCCAAGGGAAGTCCAAGTTTCAGAACCCAGGAGTTGAGGATGTCAGGGTCCAGGGTCCCCAAATCCGACAAATCGATGCCTGACCTTGCAGAAGATCATCAAACTTTGCCGTTCGACACACGAGCAACCCACCATTCACAAAAGAACTTGTATGCAAACTATGACTTGGCTCACTCTAGGCAAGCTCTTTTTGGGAAATCCCGGGCCCAAAATTTTTGAAACTAGGCATTTGCAGGTCGCAAATCGCGAGAACCACGCTCTTTTTGGCTGCGTTGAGGAACCCACCCGAAATTAACAAAGATCCAATAGTTTCGTGGTTCCCCCGGTAGGTTTTTGGTTTCTTTGAGAAACCCGGAACGGTCTCAACTCGCTGAAATTGTTGTTTGGCATTCCCAGAACCCCGAAAATTGTTGCTGAGGTGCTGTGGGCGGGAAAAAATCAGAATCATTGAAATTTGTTGAGATTCGCCAGTGTGGCAACCTTGACAAAATCCTCAAATGTCCCAACTGGTGCGTCGTTCGCCCGCGAAACCCTGCAACCAAGCCAAAATGCCTGCTTAATAAAGGTGCATCACAATTGGCCTTACTTTTGGGTGTTTGGGAACCCACCCGACAGTGTCCAAAATGCCCAAAATCATTGAACCGGCGATTTGGATTTCCCCAAATCGAGCCAAAATGCTTGCGGTTTAGCTAATTGGGCCAACATGATCAAAATGAACCCTAAACTCCTAAACCCTAAACCCTATAAGCAAAAACGCGCGTGGTTCCGCTGCTCTTGGGTGCTTTGGGAAAGCCCAAAGTCAACGAACTCTCGCGAAATTGGCTGGGTTCCACCAACACGAACAATAAGCCAAAATGCCTATCTTTTGGGCCGGGAAAGTCCGTCATCTTCAAACATCACTGAAATTGTGCATTTCGGGGGTTCGCCCAACCCGAAACCTAAGTCTAAGTACCTATTTTACTTGAAATGCCTGTGTTGAGGCTAATTTTGGGTGCGGTATTTACACTCCCCAAACTGCCCGGATTTTGTCTGCTTTGGCAAAAATGCTCAGAAATCACCTATTTGCCGTTTGGCCGGCGTCAGGCAGGCAATGAAAGGACGCATATCAATGAGAACCCATTCGACCAGTTGGGTTCTGTCTATGGGTTTCGGTGCAAGTTGCAGAAGGCGTGTTATGCGATAGAGGCACGGTACATGGCACCTGATCCTCCGGTGCTGCTGAAGGCTAGAATAGAACGAGGTCTTCGAACACAGAGACACAGACATAGATGTTGAATACCGTTGGATCCCGATGTCCAGCTCTTGCTGCGCTTCCCTTTCCTTCCTGGCTTCGTCATCAGAGGTCCTGCGCCGCCCGTTCTCAGGGGAATGTAGCTGGTTTCCACACGCCCATCACGAGCCAGATGGTCCTTCTTGTGGTGGATGACTTTAGCAGCTTGTTGCCTTCCTCTTTCAATTGCTTTGCTCGTTGCAATTTCTCGTCCAGAGAACCGGACTGGCGCAGCCGCTTGATCTCCGCATCCTGCCGAGATTGGGCCGGCCCTCTGGTCTCGCACCAACGTCGCAAACGATGCCTGCTTTGCGCATCTGAGGTCCTGCTCACCATGGAAGATGGTGTTCTGGAAGAGAGACGGAAAGCTGCTCCACATCTGCATCTTGTACTGGTCCTTGGCTGGCCCCGATCTCTCCCAGTTGGGAATGCATTCAGATCAACGGTGCCCCATCCTATCCAGGGCACCTGTGCAGTGCGCATGCCAACGGCGTGGCGCAGAGGGTCTTCCATAGTGCCAGATCCAAATTGCTTCCTTAGCTGGAAAGACATGCTCTGAACAGAAGCGCATTCTATGGAAATCTTTCCGGTGTGAGGCCTTGATGACTGCTTTTGTGCTTCTCTGCCTCGGAGTCTCATATCCAGCTTGATAAGGCCAGGCCCATCATCGGGATTCTCATCATCGGCCATGGCTGTCGTTTGTCGTAAGAGCGTGCCACGTGTTGGTGTCACTGCAAGACTAAGATGCTCCGTTCTGACGTACCAGCAGCCAAGCAGGTTGACAGACGCTGACAGCCCGTCAACAGAAGTGCAGTTTACTCCATCAAAAAGGTTGCAAGACAACGCACTGCGCAGGCACTTGGACGCATGGGCCGCTGCTACCAGGCCGGATGAGCACGCGGTGTTGATCGTTTGACCTCGTTTTAGCATATTGAGTAGCGGCTCATCCGACTTCGAAGCTTCTGTGGCACCGGCTGGCTCCTTTGAGGTTCAGTGCGAAGTTCACACGATTCGAGATGATGGCCTCTGCACCTCACGCAACTCCATTGGGCTTTTCACTGGGCAACTTCATGTCGAAGCTAAGCGAGGCACTTCCGCACCCCGCTGCATCCATTTTGTGAGGCACGGTACCCCTGGGGACCACCAATGATACAGAAGCCACGGCTCAGTGCACAAAAGAAAAGGCGCGTGGCCACTCGGATCCACTGACACCGACGAAAACACCTGCAGCAAGCCCGGCAATGCGCCAGTCAGATCTCACATCGGACAACTGACTCAGTCGAGGCATCCGCCAATATTCTTCGACGACTTCTGCAGGCTTGGCAAGTCGTAGCCTGGTTCGAATGTGGAGAACGCAGGTGATGCTGTGTCGGCTAGAGTCGGCAGCATCTGTGACGTGCGCCAGCCATATTGACGACTTCGTACGACACTTCCAAGGTCTGCGTTGCAGTGGATCTTTGATTGCCCCAGCCACGGCTAAACTTCGCATGCTGATGATCGGACCAGACTGGCAAGCTGATTTTTACACTTTCCAATGCTCGAGTGAATCAGCAAGAAGCATGTCAGCATGTCTGGAGTCATTGTGAAACTGGCCATCAGCACAAGCACCTGACTAAGCAGCCGAAATGCTTGCAATTCCAACAACAACAACAGCAGCAGCAGCAGCAACAACGACAGCAGCAGCAGCAGCAGCAACAACAACAACAACAACGGCAGCAGCAGCAACAACGGCAACACCTGCAACAACGGCAGCAACAGCAACAGCAACAGCAGCAGCAGCAGCAGCAGCAGCAGCAGCAGCAGCAGCAGCAGCAACAGCAACAACAACGACTACAACTTTAATGCTACTAAACTACTGCTACTACCACTACTACTACTCCTCCTCCTCCTCCTACTACTACTACTACTACTACTACTACCACTACCACTACTACAGCTACCTCTACCACTACCACTACCACCACTACTACTACCACTACCACTACCACTACTACTACTACTACTACTACTACTACTACTACTCCTACTACTACTATTTTTACTACTACTACTACTACTACTACTACTGCTACTACTAC